AAAAAAAGTAGATAATCAGATAATATAAAATAAAACAATAATAATAAAAAACACTCAACCCCAAAACTCAAAAAAACAACCCCAAAACTAGACACCCATAAAGTAGTTTTCAAAAGATGGAATCATTTTAGGGCTGTTGGCAAATCAACTTTAAGAAGACTGGACTTCAAAACGCGAGTGAGTCGCATTTATCTGTCCAATTTAAAATCTCCATTCAAAGCTTTCAGGTGCCAGCCCAGCTCCCCTCTGTGTAGGAAGGAGTATGTTCCCTGTGTACTTCAAGTCTCAACCCTGGCAGAGAAGAAAGTGGTGTGTAGCAAAATTCCCCCAGAATTACATTTTTAATAACGAGAAACAGGAGTTTAGCAGATTTCTTAGTAAGTTTATTTAAAGTCATGATTCTGAAGGTATAGGGTTGTCTGACAAAGGGATGAAATCATGGAATTTTCTAGCTCACAGATTTAGTTTACTAGACCGCCATCTAGTGGTCATTGTAGGAACTTCACTGATAGACCGTCCTACCACACATTTGCATGCTAATAAGGGAATGCTTACCTTTCTTTAGAATATCACTACCCAGTTTTAGTGCAACCAATGCACTAAAATTCCACAACCATCTATCAGGACAGTAGCTTCGAGAAAAAGGCAAAGTGGCTATGCGGAGCGTGTTGATATTTGATAATAATTGATGCTTTATTGGAAATGCTGGTTTTGTTTTAGATCACCATCACTGTATTCCTGTCAGAACTGACGTAAAAATATACTTGCTACTCCTTGACACAATAGCATATAGATGATATATAGTAATAAATACAGGTTCTGACTTATTTTTCTGAGTATTTATTTATTTATTCTTAAGAGTTTACTTGAGCAAAAATGAATTTGAATCAGGCAGTGCCAAACAGGATTTGGTCAGGAGCATCGGGAGACATTTTCCCTTTTCTTCTGAGTGTTATTTTAAATGACTTGCCTGAACTTCAACTGCAGAACCTTGCCCACCTTCTGCCCTCTGAAATATACAGCTGGTGTCTCTGCTTGGGTTTTAATTCATATTTTTATATTTCATACTGTTTTTCTATTGGTTGCCCTAGATCTGCATGGCTCAGTAGCCAGTGATTAGAGCAAAGGTTTTGTTCAAACTCCCCGAGCTGGTAAAGTTTCTGCCCTTGGCCATTGATCTGCATATATGTTGAGGAACACAGTCAAAATTTACTCGGCCTTCACCCTGTCTGTGATTTTACTCTCTGTGATGCTAGGGGAGTGCTCACTCCTAAGAAGGTCTTTCTCCAGTCAGCAAGCGGGGTGTAGATAGCTGCTCAAACCTGCCATTCTTCTCTCTTTCCCAGGTCTCCCACCCCCATTCTGTTTTGAGCTGATCCACTCCTCACTGTTGCTGAGACTTTGTTTCCTGTAGGCACTTTTGCTGATAATTACTTGAGTTCCTCCTCCTCAACCCAAATCCAGCTCACTGACTGTCCTTACAATGTGTAAATACAAAACTAGATAAGAAGTCCTGGAAGGGGCAGTGTGTGTATGGGCCCTGCAGCTCAAGCTTCATTAGGTTCCAGATAAATCGCCTCTGCCCAAGGCAGAGAGCACATGACCCAGCTGCAGAGGAGAGCCGGACTCCAGGACACCACATCCAGGGCTGTCAGAGGTTCAGTCTTAGTGCAGGCAGAACCAGCATCAGGAGGAGTTCTGGAGCTGTGCATGGGTCAGGGCAGCAAGAAGTTCATGGGACTAAGGTGGAAGACAGAGGTACTTACACTGCAGGTTGGGCAGGTCTGTCCATTCACAGTAGGAGTCCTGTCAGCAATTGTGGGTTCAAAGGAAAGAATTCAAACCCCTGGAGGTGGCAAGGGCCAGAAATATTAAGATTATGAAATCATAACTGGCCCATAACCAGGGACAGAACTGGACCTTCAAAGGGACCATTGGTAGGGAGAAGGTTGAAAGTGCTTCCTAATCTATAGACAGTATTAGAAGGAAAAGGTCCCTATGAAACAGAGCAGGTAGTGGCAACATTTGAAAGGAGTGCAGGTAACATCTGTAAGGGATAGAAAACAGTACGGAAAAGCATGAGGAGCACTACCTAAAATAGAGAGGTTCTTAGCTACCAGAAGGCCCTGGGGTTATCTGAAGTGAAGGAAGCAGGTTAGAAGTCTAGAGTGACTAGGCAGGAAGCAATGAGGCAGGACGATTTGGGGAGTATCAGACACATTCATAATTGGAGGGAGAGAAGAAATTTGAAAAAAATCACTGGAAATGAATAGTTAGGGAAATGTAGAGTCCAAGGCAGAGGAAGTGGGTGGCCATGACAAGTTCTCTGGAAGAGCAATGGTAACAAGAACAAATCAAGAAGGCTATCCTTTTACAGGGGAAATAAGATGTCACCAAAATGTATACTGTTCAGCAACATGTGTATTGTTCAGGTGAATATGAGTCTCTGACTGTCCCTTCATTTTGATTACCAGAGGATTATTGTTTGCTAGCATATATGAGGTTTTATATTTTATATGAAATTTCTTTTTTCATAAATTTACATAAGTATGTAAATTAGAATCTTCTGCTTTAAGTACATATTTATCAATATTCTTTCTTAAAGGGATGGTTTTAATTAGAACAACAAATCCTTAATCAACTGCCTAGGTATAAAGTGCTGAGTCACTGCTGTCTGATCTCCACTCTTTTCTCTCAACAACCAGTCAGCATAGCAACAAAATCTCACCAAGCACAACCAGCCTTCTTCCTTGATTTGCAGCATTTATTTAATTGAATCATAAAATTTGCAGCTAGCATTTGAAAACTTTATTTTAAGGAATGAAAAAGAATTGGATGCAGCTTTAACAGATAATGAAAAGACAGTAGAGAGCACAAGGGAACACCCTGAGAAGCATTGGTATCTGAAATAGCTGAAATCATTCCCAGGACACCCCCACTGGACTCAACTGACAGGGAGGAGTGGAGACAGCACAGAAATCACACGCTACGTGACCAAATCCATCTATTACAAGGATCTCACAAGCCCTTCATGGAAATTGTATTACTTCTCTGCTGGAGTAAATTTTCTGAAATTCTTGTAACCCTCTGACTTCTCTGTCAGGTTCTAAGGAATTTTAAAGATTTGAGAACTTAAAAATTAAATTCTAGGAATTTAGAATTAATCAGGAACATTTCAAGTCCTCCAATGCTGTCAACACAATTTTAGGAATTATTCTGCAATTAGGGTGGCCGTTGTGTCTCCTTCACTAAAAGGAAATGAGTAAAACGGTCATCTACCTTTTAATTAGCACTGAATTTCTTGGCTTTCTGTGGGAGAGAATTTCACTTAACCCAGAATGAGTGGTAATCATGTCCTGTTCAAATGAAGGTAAGTACTTTCATACTCCCAAGGAACTAACCTTATATAAACACTTTTGTTTGTTTTTTTTTGCTTCTTAGACTCAGGGTTGTAATTTATTATCTTCAAGGTTTTGATTCCTTTTAAAGTAACTATCCTAACATTTTATAGGGAAATACCAGAGCAAGGAGACACTCCCAAGGAACTAACCTTATATAAACACTTTTGTTTTTTTGCTTTTTAGATTCAGGGTTATAATTTATTATCTTCAAGGTATTGATTCCTTTTTAAGTAACTATACTAACATTTTATAGGGAAATCCCAGAGCAAGGAGATTGTTTATATTGGTAGTAAGCTAAAGAGGATTTGAAAAACTATAATAAGTTTTGTAGCATATATCTATACTACAGGTTATGAATTCTATAGGCAAATATTACAGAAAGAAGTTGTCTCTCTTCAATGTTTTCTGTCTGGATAAAAAACATTTGAAAAACTACCAACATTTGTATAGCGAAGATTGAGGGAAGGTTGTGAAGATCGTGCATCCAGCAGCCTCAGCCTAGACTTGCGCAGCCATTTTGGATATCCAATTTCAAGCTCTAAATAGAAACATATGGTTAAAAATAAGTTGTTTTGGTAAAATCTATAAGCATGTACTATTTCAGTTACTTATTCATATCTACTAATTGCAATAATCTTTCTGGATATTGCTGTACTACGTTTATCGACATTTCCCAGCTCTCCTTAGCCAGGGCTAATTAAGCAGTTATTGTAAAATGAATGAGCCTATCACAAAAGAAAGAAAACCATTTAGTTTTTCATTAGAGGGAGCCAGTTTGCTTGCACTAGGAGTGCCTCTCTTCACACTCCAGCATGAGACAGGTTCATCATTGTGAAGAGGCAGGGCAATTATAAACATCCATTCTTTCCCATCCCAACAACAAAGGTGTATTGGGCAGGATTTCTTGTAAGAATGCTTTGTGGGGGGTAACTTCATATTAAACCAGTACACTGTAGACACTTAACAAAAGTCAATGAACGGATGAAAGAAGAAAACAAAAACTCTAAAATGTAGCCAAACAGTCTTAATTTTGTTTCCCTTTGATAATTTTGTCTCCCTCCATAATTTTGATAAATTTTCTAACACAGAGATAAATTTTCTAACGTACACAAAAGTGAAGTTCTGCCTCAGATATAGTCAGTTATTGATTTGGTAAGTGAAAACTTTGATAAACCAATCATGAACAAAACAAAAAAACAAACAAACCTTTACCACTAGAAATGATACCTTTTCTGTGATTGCCAGTATTGTTACGTCCTTTAAAATACTTCGTGAGAGCTCATGAGTTTGTACACACTGGCCAAGAAAAGTTTGAGAAGAAAGTTTTGTTTTTGTCATTATATTTTGAAACTCTGACACTTGAAGTCTAGCTCGCTCTTTTGGTCAGGTTGAAACTCTTGGATTAAAGCATGCTCTGCTAGATTATTTTAGAAATGTCAGCATATCAGAGGAAACAATGTCAACCATCCTATTCTTTTGATAAGAGCAGAGGATGTTCCTAGTCAGTCAATGAGTATGTAAAGAACACAAAAGGATGCTAGCCTTTGAAAAACGTAAACAGGGGGATAGGGGGAGAAACCATCTGACTTGGGAGCCTACCATTTTGGCATGTGGATTGGAATCTTCAAGTCCTCTTAACTCTCTACTTGCAGGTTTCTATAATAAATAAATGTTGTGTCAGGAACTGCATCAGATATCATACATAGATACACATGCACATGTGCACATTACACACGCAGATGACATCTTCCTGATTCATGAAAAATCTAAGATAGTTTGTAAATTCCTATGGGATAGGGTGGGGAAGATGATTCTAGTTAAGTGAAGTTTTATCAGAAACTATTTTGCCTTGTAAACCTTGTGAATCTCTCCAACAATATATTTGGTAGGAGATTTACAAACATTTCTCAAGATCTTTCATTCAAAAGTATATCTATTGAAATTCCAGTAAAACCAGCTTATGAAAAGGACTGTACTGATTTTATGTGCAGCATCTTCTTAGATCATCTTGTGTGGTAGGCAGATTCTGTGGAAGTATAGACAGAAAACTATCTTTTTTTAAAAAATGTGTGTGTTGTGTTTTTTTGGTTTCAGAGAGAGAAAGAGAGAGGGAGAGAGAGAAACATCAATGATGAGAGATATTCATCCATAATCTGCCTCCTGAATGCCCCCTACTGGGGAACTAGCTGGAAATCTCACCAGGAATGGAACTGTGACCTCATGGTTCATGGGTTGATGCTCAACCACTGCACCACACCAGCCAGGCTGAACACTATCTTAATCACATCCTTTTAGCTAGGAATAAAGATGACATAATGATAATTGCTAATTTACAAGAAACATACAATTGAGAGTCTTGGTGCTTTCAGCACCTCATTCTCAGTAGGAAGCATCCTGCTCTGTGACCTTGAGGATATTGAGGATATAGATGTAGAAACAGACACCAGCATTTCGGGTGATCTTAGAAAGCCTGGAATATTCTTTTTTTGACTTAGTCTCTAAAGCATGAGTGTGCTAATTTGGCTAAATTGTTTCTCGTCAATACTTGGTCTTGCCATTCTCTCCCTCCCCATATGTAGATTGAAGGCTTGGTGGTATGAAATTATGTTAAACTGTTCTGCATCTTCTACCTCATTTAGATTTAGGGCTACTTCCACTTCAAACACACATTAATTAACTTTTTAAGTTAATCAATTATTGCAAATGAAATTTTCTTACATGTAGGGGATGAATATCAGGTAAGATTGGCTCAGTCCTGGTTTGCAGCTCATCACCAAAGTATCCTTTATTCTCCACTCCCAGTCTATCTTGAGGTGGGCTGTGAAAAAGGAAGTGGAACAGAGATACAAGATAGGGGATACACCTGTGGTTAATATTAAACCAAGAAGGAGATTTTTAAAAGATGGATACTCCGGTTACACCCTATAACAATTAAATAAGAGGGAGAAACCAAAATTAGGATTAAAAATAAAACAAAACAACAACCCTGTAATTTCAATGTGCCATCAAGTTTGGGAACTCTTGGGATAAACATTGGGATTAGAACTTGATATACGGCTACTCTTACTTGGTCTTTAATAAGAGGCTATATTTTGCCTCCATCAAGTACCCTCTATGGACACAAAGCCAATATATTCTCAGTAATGGTCTTCTTCAACACATAGGGAAGACAGACATACCTCTGAACTTGCTTCAATTTAATACAGTTTAGGTAGCGAATTAAAAATGCGATTCCCCCAATACCGATGATACCCAGGACAAGGACTACAACCAGGATGGAGATATCTGTAATGGTAAATAATGAACAACATAAACTGATGAACAAAAACAGATCCAAAGACAGAGAAGCATCGATCAGACCGTCAAACCTCAGAGGGAAGGTAGGGGAGGGTGGGGGTAAGGGGGAGAGATCAACCAAAGGACTTGTATGCATGCATATA